CCACCAAACTACATTCCCACCAGCAGTGTAGGAGGGTTCCCTTTTCTCCACAGCCTCTCCAGCATTTGTCATTTGTGGACTTTTGAATGATGGCCATTCTGACTGGTGTAAGGTGATACCTCATCGTAGTTTTCATTTGCATTTCTCTGATAATTAGTGATACTGAGCATTTTTTCATGTGCCTATTGATCATTTGTATTTCTTCCTTGGAGAATTGCTTGTTTAGGTCTTCTGCCCTTGTTTGGATTGGGTTGTTTGTTTTTTTTTTTTTCTTAAGTCGTATGAGCTGCTTATATATTCTGGAGATCAAGCCTTTGTCAGTTTCATCTTTTGCAAAAATTTTCTCCCATTCTGTAGGTTGTTGTTTTGTTTTGCTTATGGTTTCCTTTGATGTGCAGAAGCTTGTAAATTTGATTAGGTCCCATTTGTTTATGCTTGCTTTTATTTCTGTTGCTTGGGTAGACTGCCCTAGGAGAACATTTTTGAGATGTATGTCAGACAATGTTTTGCCTATGTTTTCTTCTAGGAGGTTTATTGAATCTTGTCTTATGTTGAAGTCTTTGATCCGTTTTGAGTTTATTTTTGGGTATAGTGTAAGGGAGTGTTCTAGCTTCGCTGATGTACATGCTGCTGTCCAGTTTTCCCAACACCATTTGCTGAAGAGACAGTCTTTATTCCATTGTAAGTTCTTGCCTCCTTTGTCGAAGATCAGTTGACCTCTCACTGGGCTGCTTTAATTCTAAATCTGAATTTTGAACTGGAGCAGTATGAAAGAAAACTACTGTGATTTCTGGAAATGGGCTCTCCCTCTCTTTCCTGTCCTCCCAAACTGGTTCAAATTAGTTTTTTGTAACCGATTTTCACAGTTAGTTCACTAACCGCAAGTCCCTTTTCAACACACTGGTGATGTGAAGCTTGTAACCTATTGGTATAAGTTCTGAAATCACACTGTTAGGTGTCATCATAACTTTTATATCGCATTGGAGCAGACGTGTGACTTCAGCAAAAGACAGGAAACCAAAGGATACTGCTGGCTGTTCCTTGCCACTTGTTAAATCTCTCTCTTAAAAGTTTCTATTCTAGCTAAAACACCTTCTCTTGTTTGATATTTTAAAACAAATCTTGTTTTTCATTTTCTCCCCTGAAATTTATTTTGGGCTGCGTGTATATAACTTTTTATTTTTGATGGTAAGATTGCCTTCAGTTTGATTTACCTCTTTGAACTGCAGCAGGCAATATGCCAAATACACTATTTTTAATGCACAGTATAAGTCTTGATTAGTGTCTAAGCTGTGTTCATCTCTTAGCTAACCTTTTGAAAAGAGAAAGCTAATTCCTTACTATTTAACTTTGAATTTACATCTTTAATATTGCCAGGTTGCCAGACTTTTCTGTCTGACTTCTCTGGAACAGGAGGGAAAAAGATTTGTAGTGTTTCACTTGTTAAACTTTTTTTTTTTCTGGCTGTTTTTTTTTAATTTTTATTTTATTTGGGGGGGAGGTAATTAGGTTTATTTATTTATTTTTGAATGGGATACTGAGGATTGAACCGAGGACCTTTTGCATGCGAGGCACGCACTGTACCACTGAGCTATACCCCCCCACCGGCTGTTTGTTTTTAATGCTGCTGTAGCTAAAGTGTTCAAAAAGCTTGATTTTGGAATATTCTGGTTCTTCTAGTTAATAATATCTTCAGTGTTGCTCTGTCAGATTCATTCTATTACAATGAAAGGGGCAAGTGTTGAGGGAAGGAGTCATTGAAAAACAAACAAAACACATTGTTCTTTATGATGTCCCTTATATAATTTTACAAACTTTGTACGGAATTAATATGAAGGAGAGACTGATTCCATCGTCTTCTGGATATGATTTAACAAGACAGCTTTGCTGTTGAAAAAGAAAATTGGGGGATAGTTCTTTGTCAAATTAAAAAAAATTGTTCCCATGAAAACATTACTAATATTTTGTAATAATGTGAGATATCCTGATTAGATGGTTTTTAAAAAATGTTACTTAAATTTCAAGTGAACCCAGTGAATCCCAGGATACTCATTTCCCATCACTGAAAATATCCAAATCCAGTGGGAAATAGCAATCCAAATTCTTTTCTATAATTTTTCTTTTGTGTCTTTTGCCTTAGTTGACTCCAGATTAACTATTAAAAGAGAATAAATGCCCTTCATGATTTGCCAGACATTTTTCACCTTATGTAATAAAGCTTTACTGGGGAACAGGAGCTTAACCAGCGGTGTGCTGGTAGACTGGCTCTCAAACAAAGCCTCGATTTGTAGCATCTGCTCATTCCAATTGTGGGAATACTTCCGGCCAGCTGATTTTAAACTGTCAAGTCAACATCACTCAACTGGAGTTGGGAAGAGATACAGACAACCAGTTTATCAATTTGGGCTCTAACCTCCCATCCCAAACACAGTGTTTCACCACCATAATAATCTTTCTCAGCAAGACTTCCGCCTCCCCACGTTGTCCTAGACTTTCTGGGAGCAGAAAGCTTAAGCTTTGAGTGCTGCCCTATGGTCTATAATCAAGGATCCATGAATGTCAACTAAAAGGCACTAAATACCACGAGCCAAGTGAGAAGGAGTTATAGGACTTTAGGAAGAGGAAATAACTTCTGGTTGGTAGCATCGGGGGAAGTTTCACAGAAGAAGGATTTTTGCTTGGTCTTGAAGAGTAAAATTCTAAAAAATGGGGAGGGGAAAGGGAAAACGTGGATATGGTATAGTCGTTGGTTGCATGAAGTCAGTTTAGGATCTTGAGGGTGTCTGTGTGTGTGTAAGTCTGTGTATGTGTCGTTACAAACGATAAGGATTCCCACTTCTAAAAATTTTGCAAGAATCCAAAATATAAACGTTTATGAAGCACTTTGGGAAGGGATTATGAGGATCTATTTAAAATGCCCACGCATTTATCAAGGCCACGGTGAAGAGCAGGTACCCTCAGTTAGCAAAGTAAGTAGAGAAGAAATAAAATGGTTGAAAGCCAGTGGTTTGTCAGCCTGTACCCTGCTGAAACATCAAAGAAACTGGGAAGTCTGTGGTGGGATCAGCAATTTGAACTCCGGGTCCTTCCATTTTCCTTTCTCTTGTACTCCGATAACTCTTTAGGCCATGTGCAAAGTTTAGAAACTGAGCAAACAAACTAGGGTCTTTTTCAAGAGTTGTTCCGTAAGCAAAATCAGTTTTACCGACATCTAAGGGTCAAAGAAAATGGCATGTGTCTCTGGGGGCTTTCACGTAACCACTGAGCACTGTTACATCTACTCTGGAAACTTATTAAGAGCATCAGTCGTGTTGAGGTGTGCGGAGGGAGGAAGGGTGGGGAGAAAGAGAGAAAAAAAAACACTAGAATCCAGACCATTCAATTCGGAATATACTTAGTATAGACTTGAACAGGGATATTCATGCTTTTATACTCCTTTCAGGAAGATTAAGGCCTTGTTCTTAGAAGTCCTCCCCCAAAATTTACTTTGGGGGCTTTTATTGCTTTTAGTGTGTAGCTGTGACCATCGCCAGTGGTTACTTCATAAGAATTACATTGTCAATTCATATATGTGATTTATTTTACGTATTTACGCTGTATATTTGTATGATATACAGCTTTCAAAATCTAGCCTGTTTTCTAACTATAGTCCCTAGAATGTGTAAGGAGAGAAGCACACAGGAGGAGCAAGTCCCTTCTTGATAAAAATAGTTGTCCTGTTTGTCACCTGAATGTGCTTTTCTCTTGCTCCAGATGTGCCATTTGTTACTCTGACCTTCTGATGACTTCTGAGAGAGCTTTGTTTATAAAGAATGTAATAAGCCTAGGTTGTGTATGAAAAAAAAAAGCTCCTTGTAGTTGCCATGGCTTGAGAATAAATATATTAAAAAAATATGAGCGGATGTTTTCATAATAGCTATTGGATTTTTTACCTAGAGTGTTGAGAACATTTTTCTTGATCCACTTAGTTTTGTAACCTCTCCCATCCCCTGTCACTGTGCCTCAGTATTATTTACACCTGGTAAACAATAATTAAGACCAAAAAACTTTAAACATGTCTTCCAGACATTTTATAGAAGGTGTACTTACTGAATTTCTCATAGTAACTTCTCTCTCATAAATTTATCGAAGAACCTCAAACACTTTTTTCGTTTTTGTTTTTCCCCTCCCAGGGAAGATCAGGAAGAGACGTCTGCAATTCGAGTGGGCTTTATCACATATAACAAAGTTCTCCATTTCTTTAATGTAAAGAGTAATTTGGCCCAGCCTCAGATGATGGTGGTGACCGACGTTGGAGAGGTCTTTGTTCCTTTGTTGGATGGTTTCCTTGTCAACTATCAAGAATCCCAGTCTGTGATTCACAAGTAAATATTAGTACTTTATAATTTAGTTACAAATCAGGTGTCTATTTTCGATGTTTTGATTCAGTGGCACGCATTTTATTTTATCATTAGCGACGGGGTTTTTACACACAGATAAAACTCTACTCTTTATGTTAGTTCTGTCTCTTTTAAATGTAGACCTGTATCTAAAAGGGGGAATTACTTTTTTAGGACTCACACTCAACCCTAGCAGCCCCTTCTTTTTGCTGGAAAGGCAACACAAGGGAGTTATTTCCTGCATGTGCATGAGATTATTTCAGGGATGATACAGCCACTGTTCCAAGAATTTATAGTCTGAGGGATCAGAAATGTAGTAAATAGGAAAAAAACATCCATAAAGTGTGTGATTTTGTAAATGCCTCAACCAAATCATACATCTGGGGGCCAGACCATGCCAGGGTATCATTCCTGGAGGAATGACCTGTGAAATCCACCCACAGGTGTTCAGTGAAATAGACACCATCTGTATTTAGGCTTGACATGTTACTTACTTCTTCCTTGATGTTTATTACAATGTGCAAAATATTTAAAGCCTTTTGCTCATTCATTTCTTGCAGTTTATTGGACCAGATTCCAGAGATGTTTGCAGACTCAAATGAAAATGAGACTGTCTTTGCTCCTGTCATCCAGGCTGGCATGGAAGCGCTAAAGGTGAGAGGTAGACACTTCTAGTTGCTAGTAATTACATGTTGAAAACAGACACACAGACACACACATACACAGAGAGAAAATTTCATCCGTGAAAGAAAAAACAGCCTTCATTAAAACCTGTAGGTTGCTGGAGGCTGTTCCAAACTTCCCTGCAGATCTCAGGAGGAAGTGGCCCAAACCACGGATCGCCCCCAGCGTTTACATTCCAGAACTATTAGCATCTGAGCCACTGATTTTGTCAGGGTTTCCAGTTTAACTCCTCCCTTTGGCTTTTCTATGAACTTTATGTGATCTTTTTAAAAATTGTTCCAACAATATCAGAACTACCAGAGATGAAGAGAAAAATCCCCATCTCTCTCCTTCCTTGGCGTTTTCAGACACGCAAAGGGCAGGGTCGTGACAGCGACAGAAGTGAATGGGGGCCGACCGCCAGAAGCAGACGCAAGGTTGGCTGGGTGTCTGGTTGGGAAGCTGAGCCCCAGGGACTCTGGCCATTTTCATAGGAATAAAGACAGGAATCTGAGGAAGGAAAATGATTGAAAAGTGCTTATTTTTAATCATTACTACCTTAGCACAAGAGTCAAACCACATTGGCCAGACAGCTAGCTCGTAACGGTGATTTTTAAATGTTAATATTAAAGTCACATTTAAATTAACTTCTAAAATGAAAGGGCTTGTAGTAATGACCACTAGCAGCAATAATATCACAGAACTGAGTTTATGAGATACTTCCACATAAATTTTGCATCTGAACATTGTCGTCTGGTTGTAGTACAGTGATTCGTGCCTGGGTTTTTTGATCTTCAGAATATTCACTCATTGGATCAAAGACTTGTAGATGTCCCTCAAAAAGCCTCAAACCGTGTTAATGTAACATGAAATTAAAGATGAATTTTATGTCAGAAGATAGTTTGGAGATGTTAGCTTTCATCCTGTGAAAGCCAGCAGCAATCATTGTTTCGGCTACAGAAAGACGTGGGAATTCCTATTTTATTCCACATGACTAACAACAAATGTCTTCTGTTTCAATTTGAAACGGTTTTGCAATTGTTTTCTCTTCCAATAAGGGGTATAGAACTCCGTATGTAAATTTCCCGATGTAAGTTATATATGACACCGCAAGTCTTTCCACGCTGAGAAGTTAGTACTGGGAGTAAAGTTACATTCACATGCTTGTGCCTGAGAGGACAGATGAGTGGATGTTGATCAGCCAGTGTGTCATCAGTTAAGACAGGAGAGTGGAAGGAAGAGCCCAGGCAAGGCTTCCAGGGGCCCTGAGTCCAGATCCCAGCTCAGCCCCACATATCATTTCTAAAAGGGAGCAGAACTGTCTTATCCCAGTGGGTTCCACAGGGGGTCTCGAGGCTGCTTAGGAGGCTTCAAAGAAAAACATATAAAGCAAATCTGTGTGCATGCATTCCATGTGTCTAAGGTGTGATACCGCAGTAGGAAACATAACTGAAGCCCACTGTGTTTGTAATAAGAGTAATGTTCTTTGGGGTGACTCTGTACCACAGCGACTGCGGCTGTCAGTGTTCTTAGCTTCCTGTCATCTGCCAGAGGCCAGTCCATTTCAGCCAGTCTATTTTCATGTCTTTTGCATGTTGTTTTTGGTTAAATTTGCAATTTTAGTGTTAGAATAACATATGCTTTTACACTGAGGTTTAAGAATGAAAAGAAGCTAGTATCTAAATATAGCTAATCAGAATAACTTTACGAATATCAAAATTAGTAAGTATTAATTATTCTTACAAAGACGAACTCCCTTTATAGAAGGTAAACAATTGTTCTTACGTAAGGATAAGGAAGTGCC